AAAAACAGTATCATAGCTATTAAACTATGTCTTGTTATAGTTTTAAATCTGTATTTAACCTCAGAATGATCTCAAAGTAAATAGAGGTGATTTTGTGGTGGCTGTCAAGTCAATTCAAGTCACCTTTATGTCAAGTCACTCCTTGCTTCCGGCTTCGCTACCATTCGGACGTTCTTGCTTACTGCTCTGCGCTTTGCTCCCTATTTCTGTACTTTTCTCAGATTTTTCTAAGATTTTTACTTCAGCAGATCAGCACAGTGCTCAAACAACACATTTTTGACACAGACACTAAAACTAAAAACTCTTGGGACTGGAATAATACTACAAAAAAGGGCAATTTTAACCTCCCACTGCCAGAAGCTTACATTCCGGAGACGGGAAAACACAGCTGTCTACATTCAAACAGACGAGAGAGAAAATGCCTCCTGTTGAATCTACTTGTTGCATGAACTGCCTCAAACTATTACAAAGGATTGCGGTTCTTGAAACAAAGTTACTTGCTGGACTTCCAAAACAGGCAGAACACTCGGCAGACCATCATCATGGACCCCCTCAGCATACAGCTGGTGAGTCCCATGAATCTAGTGAATCTCAACAGTTTATACCAGGTTTCACAAGTTCACGCTTACATATAATTAGCTGAAGTATGGTAATGCATATTTGGCGTGCTGTCCGGGGAAGGGCTTCGAGCTCGGGAATGGCCCGAACCTAGAGTACCCACCCCCCGTATAAGTGTAGTATGAACTCCAAGTGAGGAGATGGGGCGTAGGAGGGATGCGTATAAACCATCAATGGATAGAGGTAAGTCAGCTGATGGACCCCCTCAGCATACAGCTGGTGAGTCCCATGAATCTAGTGAATCTCAACAGTTTATACCAGGTTTCACAAGTTCACGCTTACATATAATTAGCTGAAGTATGGTAATGCATATTTGGCGTGCTGTCCGGGGGAGGGCTTCGAGCTCGGGAATGGCCCGAACCTAGAGTACCCACCCCCTGTATAAGTGTAGTATGAACTCCAAGTGAGGAGATGGGGGCGTAGGAGGGATGCGTATAAACCATCAATGGATAGAGGTAAGTCAGCTGTATTTATATCATGGTGTTGATTAACTTGAGTGCGCTCCACCTGTGTTAATTAGGCTAAGTATCTGACGCGCTCCTCCCGAACCTTGTTAATAAAACATCATTTCACGAGTTCACGCTTGCATATAATTAGCTAAAGTATGGTAATGCATATTTGGCATGCTGTCCGGGGAAGGGCTCCGAGCTCAGGAATGGCCCAAACCTAGAGTACCCCCCAAAAAGCAATTGAGCAAAGATCAGCTACCAGACTGAGAACCCCTCCAAAATAAGCACTGAGAACTGGCGGGGGGCTGATGTTTTGAGAAGTCGCCTGGTTGGCAAGCTGGAAGAGCCTACACACTCAGGTGAGAGCGACTTATGCGTTGGAAGGGTAGGCCCTACCAGCTGCTGGTATTGGACTACGTGGTTTGGGGTGCCCGGTCGGGAGGGCTCGAGCCGATGCTCAACGGGAGCTCACAGCGTTGGAACGAGTGAGCCCTACTGGCCGATGGGGGAGGAGCAGCGTGATTGTATAGCCCTACCAGCGACTATTCCAGTCGAGGAGGTTGCCTCAGAATAGCTCACGGTGTCAGCATATGGGCCCTACTGGCTGACAGGCCCCTGCTAATCAGTGGGCAGAGGGCAAAATGGCTGACCGAGAGGGCCCATGAAGCCTCCGACGGGAGATCAAGACTCAGGACGACGGACATGTGGGTCCTCTCGGTATGGCAGATAAAAAGGCTTTGGGCCGTCTGGCAAGGAGGACTCTTGCAACACCCGATGGGAAATCAAGACACACGGCATCGGATGGATAAGTCTCGCTTGCGGGTGGCAAGTATAGAAGCCCAACCGGGAGTACTCTTGCCGATATCTGACGGGAGATCAAGACTCGCTGCATCAGACGGGTAAGCCTCGCCGGGCAGGGAGAGAGAAAAGGAAAACCCGACTGGGAGGGCTCTCGCAGCATCCGATGGGGTATCAGACTCAGAACATCGAACGGGTAAGCCTCGCCAGGCGGGGGGAAAAGGCGTGAGGTTAGCTGAGAGGGTTCTGACAGTGTTCAGCGGGAGGTCAAGACTCATGGCGTCGGATGGCTAAGCCTCGCCAACTGTCGAACGGAAAAGTAAAGTTATGTGGCCGGGAGACTCTCGCCGACGTCCGACGGGAGCACACAGCATCGAACAGGTAAAGCCTGTGTTATACTTTACGCGTGCGCTAGTCCGCTATTGTGATGTAAAAATCGTCATCGGAGAGTGTGCGCGGAGGCTCTGAGCAGACATCCGCGTGCCTCCCATTTTTTGTGACCGCGCGGACTTCTCAGCACGCTCAATTGGCTACAAAAGCGCCAATTGCGCATTTGCTGGAAAAACAACATGGAGACCGAATTTGAAGAGAGGCTGTGTGAAGAAGTCTGCTACCCGCACCTATACAATACTTCTTTAAAGCAATATAAAGACATCCAAATATGCAATAACTCCTGGAGGGAAGTTGCTCAGAGTTTGAGCAAAGAAGAAAGTGGGTGTCACCACAAGTGGAAATATTTGAGAGATCGTTTTGTGAAGGCAAAGAAGAAGCTGAAGGGAAGGAGCGGTGCACCATGCGGTAGAGCTGTTCCCTCCATCGTTTACCTCTTGAGCCGGTTGTCCGACTTCGTGAAACACTGGGACACAGACTCAAACTTCCCAGTAGAGGTAACGTTAATGCGAATCAAACTTATGCCTTTTATGTTTGCTTGGTTCTTGGGCAGCTTTGTGATGTGAATGTAGTATCGTTTGTTTTTCGAATGTTGTAGTCAAGTCAAGTCACCTTTATTTATATAGTGCTTTTAATGATACAGATTGTGTCAAAGCAGCTTTACACTATTAATTGGGAAAAATAGTGTGTAATAAAGCAAACGGACTACAGTAAATACTCAATTTTCAGTAATTTCATCATTGTAGTAAACGTCCTGTGACTAAATTTTTTGCTTAGTTGCTACATGATTACAATTCATTATTTAACGTTACAATATAGTAGTATATATATATGTTTATATATCATATAATAATTAAAAAAGATTCGAACTAATATTAGGTATAAGGTTAACTAATATTAATGTATTGAAGCTAGAAGGCAACATGTTCACACTGAACCTGGAAGCAATTGAAGCAGATGAGTCCATTTCCCCAAGAACTTCGACGCCATCACCACAACCAGAGGCTTTTTCACCACCACCCACGCAGCAGCTGGGCTGTCATCACCCACACCTTCCTCATCATCCGCAAGTGAGGTTTTTCCCCTCCCCACATCTCTGAAACTAAAAAGACATACACCTACCACACCCTTTGAAGATGCTATCCTCCAGCGGCTACAACAAATCGACAAAGTCAGAGGATGAGGACCATGCCTTTGGTGTGATGGTTACAAGCATGCTGGCAAAACTTCCACCCCATGTCCGCATGGAAGCTAAATTTGAAATACACCAGCTTCTTTATCATAAACAGAAGCAGGCATTTCAAAATGACAGCAGTCAATAATAAAAACAGTTGTTTCATTTGTTGGTGTTGGGTGTTCTTTATATTATTGTTCTTGCTATTGTTGGGTATTTTTTATATTGGTTTGTCAAATATATCTTTCAAAATTGACTGTGTTCCATATCTTTTTGTGATATATACACAGTACACACACACATATTATGTAAACAAACTTTTATTTTGAATGTGATTAATCGTTTGACAGCACTAATTTAAACTATTTTAAATGTTCTGGAGACCCCTCTTAACTATGTTGTTTTGCCACGGCACGTGTCCTGATGGTGTCTGGAAAAATGTCATCAGATTGTGCCTTGTGTTGAGTGCAAACCGTGATGCTCTTCCGACGGTCAGCTGCCTTGCCTCAAGAAGATTGGTGTCGCCTGCCACATGCCGCCTCCACTCCCCTGGCTGGATGTCTCAGTTTGCAGTGGGGCTACCTGGCAAGGTGTATGGTATGTATCTCATGTTCCCTGGATTAGATGCATCAGTGTGGGTTAGGTAGTTGTGTAAAGCCACACAGGCTTTCACAATGTGTACTACATTGTCTGGGCTGTAGTCAAGTGGTCTGCCAAAAATCCTCCACCAGGATACCATAATACCAAAGGTGTTCTCTATGATCCTTCGGGCCCGGGAATGTCGGTAATTGTATACTGTACTTGCTGTGCTGTCGTGAGGTTGGAGCCTGTGGGATAAAGTGAGAGGAACATACAAACAGTGTGAACACACATGGTGTTGTCTTTGATGCTACATAAGCATAACGTAATAGGTTATTAAATGTAACATTATAAATGGTAACCTCAAAAATACAATTAAATATACCTATATACACAGTTATTTACATATGTACATAGGCTTAATTTAAACACCCACAACATTACAGCAACAAATTGATAATGTGGTTCATGTCATGCTGTTGTGACACAGTATTACTGCAAAATATAATTTTATAATTCTTTTGTACATTCTGATAAACAAAAGACTTTACCTGGGAATGGGCGCATGAGATTTGGGAGCAGTGGGAAAGCTGCATCTGCAACAAACACATGTGGATTTGTGACATCCGTGCCTGGCAGGGTGGCTGGTCGTGGCAGCTCGAGAGTCCCGTTGATTAGCTTGGACCCATATATACTTTCTTTGAAGATGCCTCCATCGCTTTCATGTCCAAAAATAGTGGTTCATGGGGGAATTTAGCCTGAGCATTTATAAGGCGGAGGTACTCAAAGATGGACTGGTATGGTTGGATTGGAGAAGATAAATTAAATATATAGCTGAAATTACCTTTCTTGGCTTTGTCTGTCTTGCTTTGATTAAAAAAGAAATTGTTTCGCTATCGAGTACGGTTAGGTCTGAGACAGTCGGGTTGATTTTTTTGGATCGAATTTGGAAGAGATGGTGAGTT